TTAACCAGATGTGATGGGAAGTTGAAGTTACAAGGCTTGTACACAAGTCCATCATGCCAAACATTGTAAAATGCCTTTTCAACGTCTAACAAGGCAATGGCTGTGGACTTGGATACAGCTTTGTTACTTCGGATGTTATTCATCACCCGTACTAGCTGGTGATTGATGGAGTGCCCCTTTCTGAATCCAAACTGTTCCGGAAGGAGAATGTTATTTTCCTCGACAAACTTAAGCAAACGATTGAGAATAAGTTTCTCGAACAATTTGCTCAGCTTGCGGATAGGTATGATTTTCGCTGTCTTCCAGATGCTTGGAAAGTAGTGCAGTTCCAAACATCTGTTGAAGATAGCGGTTAGAAGACACTGCACTTTCATGCTGAGTCTCTTCAAGATCAAGTTGAATATACCGTCAAACCTGGGAGCCTTCATGTTCTTGGTGCATTTCAGCGCTGAGCAAATCTGTTGTACTGTAATCATATCCGCCGGTGGCACGACACAAGGGGAGGCATCTAGGTTTTGAACGCATTGCGCAACCTGATCATCGAGCGGACTTTGGATAATCGAGCCAAGCAAATGCGATGAAGCGACATGCTTGCCGATCGCATTTGCTTTCTCCTGTGGGGTGATTAAAAGCCGATCGTCATCATTTTCGACTTTGAGAGGTGGAACGGGTTTGGGATGATTTTTCAGGACCTTGGCTACCTTCCAGAATGGTCTGGAGCGGTCGTCCAGATTCTGGACAACACGCCCGAAACTTTCATTTCGGAGTGAGTCCATTGTGGAAGCAATCTCCTTGTTCAGATCGGCCATTTCACGTTTTTTGCCCAGATCTCCAGTCCTCTGAAACTGGCGTCTACGAACATTTCTCAGACGAATCAAAAGTTGGGTGTGGGAATCAATGGCAATAAACTTACCCCTCACAGGAACTCGTTGGACGCACGCCTCGTCAGCCACGATTATGGCTTGGTGGAGTCCCTCCAACGCTCGGTCGATGTCCTCCACGGAGTCAAGCGGCGGGTTGTCGATGATGTGCCTGTCTACCACGCGTCCAAACTGGGCCCAGTTTACGCGATGATAGTCCTTGCGCAGGTTCGAAGCAGGAGCCACGTTGTAGCCCAGTTCAGCCACCACCGGTTGGTGGTCGGAGCTGAGTTCGTTCAAGGCTACCGGCTTGGACAAGCCGATATTAGTCAGGAACAGGTCTAGCGTCGATGGGTTGCCCGCCGGTGAGATAAATGTTGGTTTATCCGAAAACCAAACGGAGTACAGCCCATGCTGTGAGTGGTCGAACAGCAGACGACCGTTCTGGTTCTGCTGGTAGTTCCACCAGGCCTCTTGGCGAGCATTCAGATCTCCTCCAACTACAAAGCGGGAACCGGTACGGGGGATGGTGGACAGGTCCTTCTTGAATTTAGCCGCTAGTCCACTGCTGGCGGCACACTGTCGAGGGCAGTAGACGGCGATGAACTGGACAGATCCAGTCGACGACTCCACCTCCACATCAAGGGCCGCGATGATAGAGGTGCGGATATGGGACAGAGTGTGGTATTTTATTCCTTTCTTGACGACGACCGCAACACCCCCCCCCCCCCTCCTGGAGCTGGTGCGATCAAACGGATAATTTTGGGGTCAGGCAACCAGAAGCTGTCACCGGACTTTAGGTGGGTCTCGGTTAGAAGAACCACGTCGATGCTATGCTTGCGGAGGAAGTCGGCAAGCTCAATCTGCTTAGCTCTTGCAGAGCAAGCGTTCCAGGTAGCGATGGTTAGCGGTTTAGATACCATATTGGATGATGAACTTACCGAGCACTTGGATCTGTTCGGGCTTATTGCGGCACTTACGTAGAGCACCGGTCATGTTAATGAAAATCTCCATCAATTCATCCGCTATTCGGGATTATTTGGTTGAGCTGTTGGTTGTCTCCAGAATCCAGGGGGGATGGAGAGCTTTGTCCAGCAGAAGATCCAGACGTTTCTTGAGGGGGGACGGATCGCACCCTTGGATTCACTTGTCCATGAAGAGGCGGAAAGTCCTCCGCCCTGAAAGCCGGGGCCTTATCCTTCCTTCGTGCTGGTTGATTGTTGGTGGACGCCTGATTTCGGATGCGCTTGAAATCCTCGCGTTTAGGGCACTGCTTGTTGGATCCTTGGTGAGCACCACCACAGTTGGCGCATTTTAACGCCACGGCTCCATCCGCAGGGCAGTCGGAAGTGGCGTGGTCTTGAGCGCAATTGCCGCAGCGTGGCTTAATGGTGCAGTTGCGGATGCCGTGTCCGAAGTTCAGACACCGCTGGCACTGAGTCACACCACGATGGCCGCCACGGTATGGCTCCCAGCGGACGATGATGGAATTGATGGAGCGGATGGCTTTCAGCGCGTTGAGCGTCACCGGTCCCTTCTGGAAGTGTACCAGGAAAAGGCAATCCGGGTAAGCCTTCACATTCTCGTCTCTTCTTGTCATCCGATAGACGGCACTTGGGGCTAGTTTGTCCGGTCCCTGATTTCAGCTTCGATAAACTTCGGGTCGAAGTTAGGTAGGTCCCTGATGACGACCTTGAGCGGTTTCTCACCGGGAATGTCGTGGGTGAAAATTTTCACCTTGGAAGTCTTCAGGTGGGCGACGACCAAGTCATACTCCGCTTTCGTACGGAGCACAACCTTGGTACCGATTCTTCCCAACTTGTATTCGGCTTTAACGCCCAGCGTCGCTAGATCCGCGATGAGCTCATTAAGATGGGCATTTTTCACTACCAATGGAGGTAGCTTCACTTTTGTCGCACTCGGACCGGCAGAATTTTCGTTTTCGATGGCGTCGCCGAAATCACCGATGTCACTAGCGTTCGTCGCTGTGACATCGTCACGTCCACTCGCATCATCCGACTGGCCTTGGTTTTTCTTCCTCTTCTTGGATCGCTTCACCGTGGCGGAGGTGGTATTCCCAACATCGGTGGGAAGAGTAGCGTACCTCTTTGAAATAGGTACACTCGTGCTACCCTCACCACTGTTCTTCTCCGTTTTTTTTAACGGAGCCTGCTCTGGGAGCGCTGTCTTCGCATCAAACGATGCGACCGACACTACTGACGACGCGAATAAACGTTTGGAATAAATTATCGAACAACTCGATAGAGCGAGCAAACACCGGACTAAACTGCTTGATGGACAAGCAGAGAATAATGCCTTTTCAACGCTCAATGTCTAATTTCAGTAAATAGCCTGAGTAGAACGATGTGCAACCAAGTGGTGCTTGATTATGATGACTGGGTTTGGAAAAAAATATTTGTTTCATGAAAACAGCGATAAAATATCATTTGTTAATTTTTCAAAAGCTTTTTGTAGAAAAATAGAAAAGTATTTATTTACGCAGATTTGTAAAGTAGTATCCTATCGATTGACGTATTTGGATTTTAATTTCATCATTTCATACAAAGTTACAGGCGTTTAAAACCTAACACTATTTCACCACACATGTTTTTTTTTATTTGCACCCCAGTATAGTCGACAAAGACGCAATTCTACGTCAAAAGTACAAACAAAAAGTTCAAAAATTTTACTAAAAGTTATTGTTCTGGAATTTTATCAATTCTCAAATGTTCATAGTTTAAACATTCTTAAGGTTTGAATATTCAAGGGATTTTAATTTTACTTTAATTTTTACTGCAGCAAAAACGTTTTATTGCTTCAACTCTCCGACGTTTCGGTGATATATTTCACCATTTTCAATAAAACGTTTTTTTTTTCTGCAGTAAAAAGACTGAAAGAGCCGTTAAACCCTTCAATCAATCCCTATAACACACCTGTCACAAGCTCTCAAACTTTTAATTTTAAAGTAAAAAGTTGCACAAGGACATCTTGAGATATTTGAGATTTCAAAACTTATTTTTCTTAAAATCAGTACTGTGTATATTTAAATGATTTTTTTTTTCTCTACAACTTTGTTTTGGACGTTACTTCGATCAGAAGAAACGTTCACGCGCTACAATATATTTAAAAATGTCAAAGACGTCATATTGAGAAAAAATCCTAAAATCCAAAATGGGCGAATTTTAGCAAAAATGCAAACAATTATGCAAAATTTCATGCAAGTTGGAGGTGTTTGAGTTTTTTTTTCGATTCGTCATTCCATACTTTACTGCTTCATTTGTCTATCCAGGGGTGTATTATTGGGTAGATGTTGTTCTTCTTGTTGCTGAACAGAGAGAAGTCATGAGAAACTTACAATCATCCTTAAACTCGATTTCTTCAAAACTATTAAGCTTAAAGATCAAAAAGTGGGTCGTTTGCGTGTGGAATTTTTCGTGTAGACGGAAGTTTGAGGACCTCTGTTCTACAGCATTACATAGCTAACAAATCGAACTTTACTTGCAAAATGGAAACCCAAATCTTCTTCGATGACTTTTAAGTCCAAACTCAAAACGTAAACTTCACAGTTGATTATTTACAGTGTTTCAGGCACTTTCCAACTTTGACTTCGAAACATTTTGAGCCCAAAAAGTTCTTTGACTGAACCGGAAACCAAATTCGTCACTTCCTGCATGGTATACCCTTATTGCATTGAGACGTCAGTCTATTTCACAGTACATTTAGTAAAAAATCGATTAGTGGCGTTCCACACTCATTTATTTTAGAAACATCATAAATCCTCAAGGAAAAGCTCTCTTCATTCTTCACTTTGTTGCACAGTCACACAGAGCTCATTCCAATTGCAGTCTCATTCCAGTCAGTGACTGCTTTTAAATTGAAGTTGAATTTTGGCCACAGAGTAAAGATAGACTGCGTTCCATATCAGTAAAGCTCTCCCCCTCCCCTCGTTGATGCATCATTAATTACCATACGACATTGAATCGACGATAAATTTACCATTCAGGGGTGATAAATTTCACGGTCATCCAACCGGCCCCAACCCAAAAAAAAGGCTCCGAAACTGTGTGGACAAATGAAAAATCCGTTCATTTTGTCAAGGATTTCGGATACACGCTCCTAGAAGATCGAAACACGTTGGCGTTCACGAAGAATGTAACTCAACATGTAACAGGACTCGGTACTTTATTCCACTAGTTTTTGGTGTCAGGTGGTGAGTTTTTTTCGGCGAAACTTTTTTGTAATTTCTTGTTTTAAAGTAAATCTGTTAAATGTATCGTTTAGTAACTAATCTGCCTAAACCAAACTTGGTTAACAGAGGACAAACCTTACCTCTCGGTGGTATATCCAGCTTACTGACTAACAAAACATTGGATGAAGAGAAAATCTAGGTTACTAAAGGCATTGCGATGGGAATAATAAATTATAAAAACTGCCTTCAAGTTAAATAAATGAATGGATGGGATGGGATAGGATGTGGTGCACGAAGAAATGAAGCAAAAGTTATTCCGGCAGAATGTGCAGTGCAGTGCCTCGATAAAGGCATTCTTCCTCGTGCAGCGTACAAATCATTCGACTATGTCCAAGCCTCGGCTTGCAAGTGGATAATAAATTTATTTGGTTTGTACTCCACGCATGAGTATGACGCCCTCTAGTAGTGACAGTAAGGCAATTTATTTAGAATCATGGGCATGATTTACGATGGTCTGGGAAATCATTACTCAAGGATGGTGTTTCTGTCCTGATTCGGGTAGCTCCTACGACTCGGGACATGGCTGTAGCTCATGATTGCCACCTTGCTCCACAGTCTATTTAGAGATTTTTTTTTCATAACGCAATCGAGAAGGAGTGTATTGGACCAATGGCGCAATTGGCGGAAACAAAAGATAAGACGTGCAGTGAATAAATCTACGCAAAAGTTGATCCTTTCCCGAGCCAAGCCCGAGGCGAATATGGCTGCTGCAGTACACTTTCTACCGGAAGGAAGACCCAACGACGGCGACAACTACACCGCCGACGGGGGGGAAATAGGGAAGTCAAACTATACCTCTACGTCCTACAAGCTACTACCTCTACAACAGCAAATTTATACCGCAACCCCGAAAACATAAAATTAATATCAATCGAGAGGGAAGGAAATTTTCACGAGAAAAGCCACGGCTGCCGCAGGATGCAATGGTTGGAGATAAAACGTTGGAGCGGCTGGGGAATCCAGTCGGAAAAGTTTCTCTTCTGCTGCAGCTGCACCAGGGCGATACTCTACTGATAGACCTGAATCGTTCCACGTTCTTGATTGTGGATTTTGGCAGTTCGAAGCCGCGCTAGGATGCGCATTGTTCGAGAAGCATCTACGTGAATTGGTTCTCAACGTCATCGAACAGGCTGTGATTTGTGTTTCCAATCGATTTCGGCTCGAAACTTCCGGTGCATCAATCGGTGTTCTTCTACTAACTACGAGATCATTATCTATGGTCTACTTTCAGCTTAGAAGATTTCCTCATCATCATCATCATCATCATCATCATCATCACCACCTCATGAAGACCCCCCGACGAAGGCGGAACGAGTCAGTCTATCAAGTTTCTTTCGATACAAACAAAAATATACAACAACACTCATAAACGGAAGACAAATGCACTAAACCAAACAAAACATTTCTTCAGGAAGCAACCCTTCTAGCTTTTGCCCCGCTGCGGTGGCGGTGGTGACGGTGGATTGATCCCTTTGCGCTTCCGGAGCGACTCCGTCGGTCCCTGGGTCGGCCTCAACAGCTGTCGGAAGTTGAACGGCCCCAGGTACGAATCCGCATTCTTGTTCTTCTGGAATATGATCGCCTGTTCCACGGAATCGAACGAGTTCAGCGAATTCGACCCGCTACTTCCGCTGCTCATGCTGCTACTGTTCGAACTCATATGATGCCGATGGTGGTGGTGCTTGACCGTCCTCAAGTTTGGTGTCTTGACGTCAATGTTCAAATACTTGGAAACGTTAAAATTCTGATACTCCTTCGTATCCAGCGTCGAAGGGTGCGACCGATGGCTGCTGCCCTTGTTCGACTCCAACTCCGCAAACGAAGTCACGTGCGGACTAAACCTGTACACTCCGTTCATGAGCTCGCAAACTCCCTGTCCACAGCTCAGTCCACTTTCTTTCTGGTTGGAAGCCTTCCGGCGGTGGTTCAGCAAAAAGTTCGTATCTCCAAACATCCTCATCACCGGACTCTTGCTGTCGATCTTCGTCTCCTCCGATATGTTTTGGTACTCGTGATGTTCAATCATCCTCTTCTGCGGAACCTGGTGGTGGTGCTGTTGTTGGTGCTGTTGGTGGTGCTGTTGCTGGTCCGGTTGCGGAATCGGCATCGGTGCCTTCTTCTTCGCTTCCTTCCGGGCCTTTTCCACCGAGGACGTCCCAGACGTGGACGATGCGGACTTTTCCTTCTCCTTCGCCTTCTTCGCTTTCTTTTCCTTCTTCTTCTTCTCCTTGTTCTCCTTTTCCTTCATCTTGTTTTCGTGTTTGGAGCTCTGCTTCTTGCTGGATTTGCCTAGGCCACTAGGAGGACTAGGCGAGGGCATTTCGTGGTAACCGCCGTTGCGATACGGCTGCTCCCGGGATGATGGTGACGGTGATTGCTGGTCTACGTTGTTCGGTGAGTAGCGCAGGATCTGGTGACCGTTCGGATTCAGATAGCTGAAGGCCGGTATGTGACGGATGTGGGCCGGTTCGTTGTTGTGGTTGTGGTGGTTGTTGGATCTGGAAGGAAAGATGCGGATCAGTGGGGTTGAAGGAATGCTAATGATATGAAAGACGGACAAATGTACATTGCAGGGTTGTTAATTGCGGTGACCGTCGAAGACGTCTGGGTTAATACATGCAATGCAAATTCACCATCGAAGTTATCGACGGTTATCGATTAACAACCCTGGTGCGTTGATTGAGCGATAGAAAGCGTTAAAAAATTAAGCACATTTTGAATTCCTTAGAATCCTGAATTTCTTTAAATGAATTTAAAAAAGGCAGCTCTGAGCATTACTAAGCTGCTTGAAGGATCTACCTTTCAGCTTCCTCGGAAAGTATTATGAGGTATGACATTCAGCATAATGTAAAACTCTGAGCAGTTCAGGCTAATTGCAATAGCGCCACACCATTCACTATGCTTCCCTATCCACACGTTTATAAATATCCCACAGTAATAGGTAAGGCAAAGAAAGAGCTAACCCAAACGGATAAAAATCCCCGCATACCTTTTGAGAACTTTCTATTGCTCATTATTCATAAAATGTATTAGTCAACACATTATCAGGCGCCTTGCAAAAAAGTTAAAGAAGAATATATGTCAAATGAAATTTATAAATGGTCACACATACCGTTTATATTTTTCATAGGACCTATGTGGTTTGTCTTATGGAATATATAAGGCTGATGATTTGGCAAAAATGTTTAAGCGAACATAAATGTATAACATAATTAATTTTCGTTTCGTGACACTGCTTATCTTCGCTCACTTTTTCGGACACCCATCATTTGAAAAGTTCCCTTCAGCTTCAGGAGTGCCGGGGAGTTGAATGACAAAAGGTCAAAAGGATAAAAAGTCGAATGTACTACAGGTCGAACCTAAGTCGAATGATGAGAAAAGGGTCAAAATGTCGAATGGGCAAAATGTCCAAATATGCGAAGAGGGACAAAAGGTCGAATGGGCAAATGGTAGAATTGTTAAAAAGGGACAAACGGTCAAATATTTAAAAGAGGGACAAAAGGTGGAATGGTCCAAAGAGGAACAAAAAGTAGAATGCCGAAAACTACAAACATTTAAAAAATATCTACTTTCAAACCGCTACATCTCGAAAACGGTGTGACTTAGTAAAATTTTACGCAGGTGCTTTTTAATTGTAAATTTGGTCAGCTTTTATTGTATCAAGTCAAAACAGTAATTGGACCAAATTTTGGATATTTTTCCAAAAACTTGAGTTTTTTTTTAATTCATAACTCTTTTGTCCATTATTTGTCCATCTTGACCTATAGTGCAATAGATGTTAATTTTGTCCCCTAAACATAACAAGAAATAAAAAAATAAAAATAAATCATTTTTTGAGAAAAATTGTTTATAAGATTTTATTTGAAATTTAATAAAAAAAAAAGTTGGGTAATGTTTTAAGGAGTGCATATATTTTTTAAAATAGCCTCATTAATTATCTGCAATATTGTCCAAGACACCAAACCGATCGGGCAAACAGTTTTCGAGTAAAAAATTTCTGAAAATAAGCTTGATATTTTTCTATATTCCCTTTTCAAAAATAAGGCTGGATTCAAAATGGCGATATGAAGATGCAAAATGGTATTGTCGGTCATAAGGAACGTTTCTGCAAATTTTCAACCAAATCAAAAAATATGAAAATAAATCGATTTGCGAATTCGTAGGGAATTGCTCACAGTGAGATTCCGACCAAGATAGAAGAAAATCGGCAAACCGTTCGCAAAAGGATTTTGTTCACCCACTTGCAAAATCCTGGGTTGTCGCATCGTGCCTTGGAAAAACTGATGACACTGACACTGACATATGTACTTCATTCAACCATCTCAAGGGTCCTCCAAAGGTTCCATGCAGGACTTGGGCAAAAAACTTGATGTTTCGAAAAGTTTCGTCCAGAGGGACAAGAAACGATTCGAATTAAAAACATACAAGATGCAGAACTTCCCAAATCTGGACGAACGCCAGCAGAGTGTTGCCAAAATGCGCGCCCGGAGATTCAACACGAATCTGCTAACGCAATACCGGTGCTGCGCGGGGTTGGGTTGATGCATATATTATGTCACGCTCTAAGGGGGAGGGGGGGTCTAAGATTTTGTGACAAGCAAGGCATTAGGTATAGGAAAAACGTCACGGTAGGGGGGGAGGGGGCTCGATTTAGCGTGACATAATTAATGCATGGGCCCTAAGAAAGATTAGAATCAGTACAAAAACAATTTCTATTATACGCTCTTCGTAAATTAGGTTGGACTTCATTTCCTCTTCCATCATATGAAGCACGCTGCATGCTTATAAACATACAAACATTAAAAGAGCGTCGTGAATATGCAATGGTTTCATTTGTAAATGATATTGTTTCGCAGCGAATTGACTCAACAGAACTCTTATCAAAATTAAATTTCCATGCACCCACTCGGCAACTCCGAAATCGAAATTTATTTGCCATAAAACATCATCGCACAAATTATGCAAAATATGGGCCATTAAACCGCATGATGGCCTCTTACAATAAACACTGCGAAACCATTGACTTTACAATGTCTCGGCATAAACTAAAGCAATATTTTTATTCCATAAGAAATAACAACTCATAAAAGAAAAGACAAGAAAGCTGACACTTCTTTTTTATATAAATATATATTTAAGAAAACAAAACTGTATTAGTTGTACTAGTCTACGTTGGTTGACGAAATAAATAAATAAATAAATAAAATAAATAATGACAAGGTGACTGTGAATGACCGTTTCAAACGGAAAAAGCTGACGAAATTCACTTCGAAATACCTGATTTGGCAGACCATATGCACTTGTGGCAAACGGAGTGAAATATTCGTGACCAAAGACATCATAAACGGTGAGATTTATAAAACAGAGTTGCATCCGATCGAAATCTATTATGCCATGATGAAGCGTGAACTTCGGAATACCAAAAGAGAGGCGAAGGACGAAAAGGAAAGATGAGGAAGTGGGAAAAAAACTGAGAAAAACGTATTGGAAACGACTGTACAGGCTCTGATGGAGGGCGTCAATCGCAAATGTCGAGCATTTTATTCAAACTCGTCCTAAAATTTAACCGACATTTGTAAGCTGAAATAAATACATATACTGAATTACTGTAAAAATTTGGTTAAATTTCAATAACTATAGCCGATTTACCAAACAATATTAATTGCTGCAAAAAGTATTCCACTCACCCTTTATTACAAACAAGCATAGCTCTTTCAAATAATAATGTTTTTATGGTTTATGACACTGGGTATTAAAATCCCATTATAATTTGTCATTTCTCATAATTCGACTTTTTGTCCCTCTTTGAATAATTTTACCTTTTGTCTATTCGACCCTTCATCCCTGTATGTATTATTCGACCTTTCGTCCCTCTTTTCATCATTCGACCTTTTGTCCATTTGAGCTTTTGTACCTTCAACCTTTTGGCATTTCGATCTTTCGTCATTCGACGTTTTGCCTTTCGACCTTTTGTCCTTCGAACTTTTCGTGTCACACCTGGAAACCATGGACCACGACCAGCAGGTTTGCTTCCCAGAGATGTTTTTGCTTCAGAAAAATCCCAACGACCTCGACTGGGATTGAACCCACTTGACACACTGGCGTGAGAAAACAGTCACGCTTACCACTCAACCACCGGCGCTGTCAACTCTCAGCACCATTGTTGTAGTTCGGCTTCCAGACCGCAAAAACAGTATTCCCGAATGAACCACACTAGGGAACAGTACAGTTATTTGATGTCGCACATCGTGTCGGCAGTGGTGGATTAATCAATGTACATGAAAATTGATTAATCCGCCATTTCCAACACAGCTTGTGTCGAAGAAATTCTTTGCTGTGCTGAATATGAAGTCTAATGACCTAGACGCCTTGTCGACCGGGTTGGGATTCCAGATTTACTCCAGATCTTTTACATGACTCTACATGGTTAGATTATTGAGCTCAAAGTTAGATGTGATCGGTTCTTTCTTCCAAGAAAACGCAATTACTGATGACTTTGCAGGGTTAACCGCCATGTTAAGTTCAAATAATACCAGCTGGCAAAGGCTTCTAACGTTAGGTGATACTTGGTGAATATCCTTAATGCAGCTCTCATGGTGAAATTCAACTTTTGCAATTCACTCACCTACCAAGGAAGGTGTGATACTTTTTTGTGAACTCTATTTGGAACGTGCCTGTCAGCGACGCATGAATATTTTTGCGCAGCAATCTCAACGTTATCATGATCAAGAATACTTTCCAGTCTATGATAGACACGTGCACGATGAGGATACTACGATGATCAGCTTTACGGAAATCGTAAGACGTCAAAATTTCCACTATGATGAGGTATGCTTATCAAATGCGGAGAATTATGTTCAATATGTGCGTCTGTATGATCTGCAACCTAGCTCCCGACAAAGATCAAGCGTTGGTGCTGGGGAAATACGGTAAACTGAAGAGTGTCATCCGGGAAAAATTCCCAGCAGAGCTGTGCTTCGACATGTATACACTGGTATACATGGCGTATATAAGATGGGAAAAAAGAAATTATCGCCTTGCTGCATTTATTCATTCAGAAAGGGAATATCCTACCAAGGGAACAAAAGCATATGTTTTTTTGTGTAAGCTGCAGAGGCATCGAATGATTTCCTGCCCCAAGCGAATGAATCGGCAGCTAGAAAATAATCTACAGGACAAAGGCCGACCAGGCCGAAGATCGATCCGGCAGCAGAAGGTGCCACAGTGGAAGCAATTAAGGTACTCGATGAAGAAGTGAAGGAAATCGACCTGATGACCCTGGAGACTGAAGAGTACGGACCAGGAGAACAAGCCAGCAGAAGTCAGGTTTTTTTTCAGTTACCGAAATTATACGACTTACTTTTTGGGAAAGGAACTGTTCAGCGAAGAAATCAAGAGAAGAAAACGAAAAGAAAAAAGAAAGATGCAGGCGTGCGAGTCGCCTCACAAGAAGAAATGAACTAATTTAGGGTAGGATGGTGCAAAACGCACCGTTTAA